ACTTGTCAAGGCTTAGCCTGTCTGAGTGAGATCTGCTCTATCTTATTCAATTATCATGGCATGGGCCACATCCGTGATGTGGAAAGCACTCCAGAATAGTTGTTATACACATCTAAGATCTTGTTATTACAGTGTGAAAATTGGGCCATTCATGTTATTCCTTGTGTCCTGATATGAAATCATGAGTCAGTTATAGCTTTCATCTCAGAGTATTACCCCAGAGAAATAAAAGGTCTCTCCATTTGTATAAAGGGAGTTATTGAGATAGTATATAAATTTTAAACAACTTGTTCGAGATCACTAGATCAGTCGCTACCCAGAAAGAGAACTGAAGGTATTTTTGAGAGCCAGATCAGTTATAGTTCAATACTGTCCATATCACTGTTCATTTGAAAGCTTTTTTGTCTTTCACTTTTATATTGCCTTGTATTAGAAAATGTTAAATTACATCTTAATTGTCAAATAAAGACAGCAGTACAGTTTGGCAAGAATTCTAATGGAGACGAAATTGACCAAGCATTTCAATAAAGCTCTTATTTTAAAAATGACTAAGCATATTGATAGAGCCACTTGTACCTTGAAGAATAGCTTTTTGAATTTCCACCCTTGCAGAGTAGCTTTTTTGGGGAAAAATATGTGCCTGAAAGATTAATGCAGAGAAAGTTGCCTCTGATATGTTTCACTTAATCACTAGAAAATTTCACAACTATCGTATGCCTTCTACAGTGGAGGGAAGGAGGATTAAGAAATCTACCCAGGTTTCCAGTGTCAGGACTGGAATTTAATCTAGGCTTTGTCTAAAAGTGTATTTTTTACTTGCATACAGTATAAGTAGGAGGTCCAACTTCATTCTTTTGCATATGGCTATTTGGTTATCCCAGCACCATTAGTTGACCATTAAATGGTCTTGGCATCCTTTTAAAAAAACAATCGGCCATATGCTTGCATGTGGGCTTTTTGTTTTAAAAAGTAATTTAAAAAAAATCAATTGACCAGCCAGGTGCAGTGGCTCACGCCTGTAATTCCAGCACTTTGGGAGACCGAGGCGGGTAGATCACGAGGTCAGGAGTTTGAGACCATCCTTGCTAACATGATGAAACACTGTCTCTACTAAAAATACAAAAAATTAGCCGGGTGTGGTGACATGTGCCTGTAATCCCAGCTACTTGGGAGGCTAGAAGGAGAATCGCTTGAACCCAGGAGGTGGAGGTTGCAGTGAGCCAAGATCACACCACTGCACTTCAGCCTGGGTGACAGGACGAGACTCCATCTCAAAATTAAAAAAAAAATCAATTGACCATAGATATGAGTTTATTTCTAAACTTGCAATTCTAGGTATATGTCTGTCTTTTTGCTAATATCACACTATCTTGATTACTACTGCTTTGTAGTAATTTTTTTTTTTGAGACAGAATCTTACTTTGTCACCAGGCTGGAGTACAGTGGCACAGTCTCAGCTTACTGCAGCCTCCACCACCCGGGTTCAAGCAGTTCTCCTGCCTCAGCCTCCTGAGTAGCTGGGACTACAGGTGTGCACCATCATTCCCAGCAAATTTTTTTTTGTATTTTTAGTAGAGATGGTATTTCGCCTTGTTTGCCAGGCTGGTCTCAAACTCCTGACCTCAAGTAATCTGCCCGCCTTGGCCTCCCATACGGCTGCGATTATAGGCATGAACCACCACATCCGGCCTGTAGTAAGTTCTGAAATTGGAAGCTATGAGTTCTCAAATTTGCTCTTCATTTTTCAAGATTGTTTTATCCTGTTCTGGGTTCCTTATACCCCCATATAATTTTTTTTTTTTTTGAGACAGGGTCTGGCAGTATTGCCCAGGCTAGAGTGCATTGGCACAATCTCCAGTCACTGCAACCTCTGTCTTCTGGGCTTAAGCAATCCTCTCACCTCAGCCTCCTGATGGCTAGAACTATAGGTGCACACCACCACACTGGCTAATTTTGTACTGTTATATCTCCAATACCTGCTGTTTCCACTGAGCCTTTGCTTTTAAACTGAAATGCCGGCCAGGCACGGTGGCTCACACCTGTAATCCCAGCACTTTGGGAGGCTGAGGCAGCAGATCACAAGGTCAAGAGATCGAGACCATCCTGACCAACATGGTGAAACCCCATGTCTACTAAAAAATACAAAAATTAGCCAGGCGTGGTGGCCTGCTCCTGTAGTCCCAGCTACTCGGGAGGCTGAGGCAGAAGAATGACTTGAACCAGGAGGCAGAGGTTGCCTTGAGCCGAGATTGTGCCACTGCACTCCAGCCTGGTGTCAG